GGCATCTATCACCGCCGGTACAATCACCAGACTATTCACTGTCGGCACCTCTCACCGCCGGTACAATCGCCAGACTATTCACTGTCGGGGTCTATCACCGTCGGTACTATCACGAGACTATTCACTGTCGGCATCTCTCACCGCCGGTACTATCACCAGACTATTCACGGTCGGGGTCTATCACCGCCGGTACTATCACCAGACTATTAACGGTCGGCATCTCTCACCGCCGGTACTATCACCAGACTATTCACTGTCGGCATCTCTCACAGCCGGTACTATCACCAGACCATTCACGGTCGAGGTCTATCACCGCCGGTACTATCACCAGACTATTCACTGTCGGCATCTCTCACAGCCGGAACTATCACCAGACTCTTCACGGTCGGGGTCTATCACCGCCGGTTCTATCACCAGACTATTCACTGTCGGCATCTCTCAACGCCGGTACTATCACCAGACTATTCACGGTCGGGGTCTATCACCGCCGGTACTATCACCAGACTATTAACGGTCGGCATCTCTCGCCGCCGGTACTATCACCAGACTATTCACTGTCGGTATCTCTCACAGCCGGTACTATCACCAGACTATTCACTGTCGGTATCTCTCACAGCCGGTACTATCACCAGACTATTCACTGTCGGTATCTCTCACAGCCAGTACTATCACCAGACTATGCACTGTCGGCATCTATCACCGCCGGTACAATCACCAGATTATTCACTGTGGGTATCTCTCACAGCCGGTACTATCACCAGACTATTCACTGTGGGCATCTATCACCGCCGGTACTATCACCAGACTATTCACCGTCGGCTTCTATCACCGCCGGTACAATCACCAGACTATTCACTGTCGGCATCTCTCATCACCGGTACAATCACCAGACTATTCACTGTCGGCACCTATCACCGCCGGTACAATCACCAGACTATTCACTGTCGGCATCTCTCACAGCCGGTACAATCACCAGACTATGCACTGTCGGCATCTCTCATCACCGGTACAATCGCCAGACTATTCACTGTCGGCATCTCTCATCACCGGTACCATCACCAGACTATGCACTGTCGGCATCTCTTATCACCGGTACCATCGCCAGACTATTCACTGTCGGGATGTCTCATCGCCGGTACTATCACCAGACTATTCACTGTCGGCATCTCTCATCGCTGGCACTATCACCAGACTATTCACTGTCGGCATGTCTAACCAGACTATTCACTGACGCATCTCTCACTGCCGGTACAATCACTAGACTATTCACTGTCGGCATGTCTAACCAGACTATTCACTGACGCATCTCTCACCGCCGGTACTATCACCAGATAACACTGGTAACACCCGAGTTATGTTAATGGGCCGACTGTCTCAGTGGGAACATACTCAACACAGCGTCTCTCCCATGCCTCTCGCCGCCATATCAGAGATATATTCTGTATTTTACATGTATTTACGTTCGCCAGCAGCGCCTTGTTACACACACGATAAACACAAGTGCTAACAACAGATCCATGTCACGCCATTCGTCTCAGAAATTTAATTAGCTGAAGAATTCAGAAAAAAACACACAAAAGCTGACGCAGGTTACAGGTAGGAGTGAAGAAACGTGGAAGTCATGACATTGTATCGAGAGCCATACTGTTGATTCAAGGCCACTGGTCCAAAATACAATCATTCAAAAGTTACCTGCATGATCATTATTACAAGAGACACGTGGAGATCCGGGGTAGAATAGGTCTTCAGCAACCCATGCTTGCTGTAAAAGGCGACTATACTTGTCGTAAGTGGCGACTAACGGGATCGGGTGGTCAGGCTCACTGACTTGGTTGATGCATGTCTCGTATCCCCATTGCGGGGATCGATGCTCATGATATCAATCACTAGATTGTCTGATCCAGATTTACATAAATCCGTCATACAGCTGTAATATTTCTCAGTGCGGCGTTAAACAACAAACAAAACAAACACTGTCAGCCTATAGCTCGATTCTAACAAATGTCAACAATGATCTGATTCATTGACACCTACTTACTTACACTAACTCTCTATTCTATGTGATGTGAAGTGAGCATGTTTCTACTTCATCGCACGTGATGAAGGGATGTCTAACTGGATTGTCGGTGTCGCTTCATCCTGCTCCCCCTGTCCACGCACCTGTAGCTCCATCATTCTGTGGAGATGCCTGTACGTTTACAGAGAAAGGGCAAAGCAGACACTCAACGGTTAAGTAGAAGGGATATTGTAAAAAATATGACCGCTATCTATACAAGATGAAATGCCCACGTGACTACAGGTCTATGGCAGTGGACGTTAAACAACAAACAAAGAATTACAATATACACCCCTGAAACTATATGTTTTACGTTGTTTAGGTATAAACTTATATTGTAAATATTACCAATGAAATTTCGATTTTGTAACATACGGTAAGGACGTAGTCTATAAGGAAATGGTGCATTTTATATCCGCAGATTTCAGTCCTGTGCTCGTTGTATATCGACAGATCATTACGAAAGTGATCCGCCGGACTAGTGCTGAACGTCCTGTCCAATCTCCGACCATATCACATGCAGCATTATACACACAGCCCCCGACATATTTATGGCTGTTAACGAACTTGCGCTTACTCCAGCGTGTGTTCCACTTACTTATCAAGTGTACTGAATGTGCGCAGGTTTTCCTTTCAAGTGGTGTTTGAACGGTAACGAGTACATGTGGCATGTTATCCCACCTTGTTAAATAGGGCTTACACATGTCAATAGTCTCCATTTGAATTTAAATCTATTTAGCTAAATAAATATGTAAAATTTACCATACCCCGTGAGAAAATACCTTTACGTGTTACGTATTGCAAGAACATTTATGCAGTTATAACTGTATTAGATTTGAGAACTATAACGAACTTATTTAAAGAGCGAGCTGTTGCCCCTGGACAATGTAGGGAGTAAACAAATTAACTTTGGAAACTTTGGAAAAAGTCAGAGAAATATCTGACTTGTCACGTTTTTCGGGGTTCGATTACAAGATAAACCTGTTTATGATGTTTATTCACCAACATACTCGTGCTCGGATGTTTCTTAAAACTGGCAAAGGTTATGACCCGTGTCACTGTGGCCTCCTATCAAGCTGACACGCAGTGATGTAGCTGAACTAGTGGTCACTCAGCTCACTCACTCACCCTGCACCACGTGACACCTAGTAGTGTAAGACCAGGCGGCTACACTTTGTAGTGTCACTTTACACAATCTCCTAAACATGATGTTATTCTATAGTGACTCGTTAATGCGAACAGGTGATTTCAGTGGAGGAAAAAACCCGTCCGGATTAACGAGGTTTTGCTGTATTCAGTGTACAGATGAATGTAATCTTCTACCTACAGATTAGAGAATGGTTGTGGTGAAGGATATTCGATGTCGAGAATATGGTATATCGTTGAGAGTACAACTGAGTCATCCGAAAAGTAGCACAGCTTTGGCCGTCGAGATAGAAGATACATTCGACTAATGGTCGTCGAGATAGAAGGTACATTCGACCAATGGTCGTCGAGATAGAGGGTACATTCGACCAATAGTCGTCGAGATAGCAGGTACATTCTACCAATGGTCGTCAAGATAGCAGGTACATTACATCAATCGTCGTCGAGATATCAAGTACATTTGACCAATGGTCGTCGAGATATCAAGTACATTCGACCAGAGGTCGTCGAGATGATCACACTACAACAGCGATTTAGGTCTCAATGTAAAGAACACATAATATACACAGCAGTGGTGTTACTTGTCACAGAAACAACCATCGTAATGTATGTGCCACTGTCGAGATATGGTACGCCGAGATACGTCGAGATAACTCTTTGACAGGCCACTGTCGAGATATGGCACGCCGAGATACGTCGAGATAACTCTTTGACATACCACTGTCGAGATATGGCACGCCGAGATACGTTGAGATAACTCCTTGACATGCCACTGTCGAGATATACACATACTCCAGAGTATATGTCAGTATGTTCGACATACGTGGTCATGTCGAGTTACAGGCCAGTAGAAGCCTTGTCGAGCTACACTCTGGTCGTCCACCACGTCGACTTAGTGATTTGGTTGTCATATTTTGACGATAAGTAATAAAAAATATCAGAAGTATGACAGACGCCGACCGTTCCGTATTCACGTGGGGTGTTGATTGTGTTAGCTACCTGTAGATTTGGACAGGTAATCAGCGTTAAGGCAGAAACAAGGGGAGCGGATCAGTTCACAAAGACTGTTGGAGACATACAAGGGGCAACTGTCACCAACACCGACAGATGGCGCGCCACACACTAGAAACACAATCAGCGGATGTTCATAGGAACACATTTAGAACAGCCAGCGGGGATTTTTTTGTAATGATTTGAACCGTAATCAAATTCATCAGTATGCATTGTTTCCCACACTGGGCTGTATACTCCCCAGGGAGCTGAAAATGAAAATCGAGTGCACACTGATCCATTGACCAGGGTAATAATAGAGTAGCACTATGAGCATCCACTTGGTGGATGGAATTTGACGCATTATAAATTCACATATAATTATTAATATTAATATTAATATTAATATTGCTTCAATTTGCCCGGGAAGCGACAACCAACAATGGGTGTATTAAGACACATGATATCCAGCTTACTCGTGTTTACAGACAGGTTTCTCCATGCTATTCCGTACATATATCAGAATAGGTTATCAACCAGCTGCACGCTCTATGCCCAGACAACCATGGTTCCCTTAAGACACGGGCAAAACATGCATAGATAATCTTCAAAAGCTTGTTTGCTAATTGTGCAATTCATTCTAATGTAAACACACTATTTACTTAATAAAAAATATTGTTTAGCCGCAGTTTGAGTTGATCGACAGTCGGAGGGCAGGCGATACACAGCACATGCTAAAGCAGTACGCGGGCGGGGTGGATTAAACTCACCAACAGATAGAGGCAGTGTTATAGGCGTCAAGACTTACGTTTGTCAACTTCGTCACAGAACCGCGCGACGTTGGGGACGTCTCCTCGCTGGCGTATAGTCCGACTGGGGCTACGAATCCGATGAACACTGCACACACACACGCACACTGCCGTAACGGTAAAACACACCTTCTTCGCGACGGTTATGTCATCTGGTAAACTCCCTAATTGCCACCCACTTAAACCCCTGTGTAGTGGACTGTTCCGGCCATGCGACTGAGCTCATCTCTTTTTGAGATTCTCATGTGAACCGCTGGATGAATCCATTGTAGTAATAGGGGTATCAGATTTTGTTGTGTCGGTGTTCCAACCAGGTGTGTTGCATAGAACGCTACAGGCACCCCTTTACTTGGGCTCGACGACTTTAGAGGTACTGGTTTTCGGGATCTACCTTATAAAACGTCATCAATATTTATCTCCGTCTAAACTGAGCCAGCGACGATAAATAACATGTTTTCTAACGCCCAGCGTGTTTAACATGAGAACAAAAGCTTGCGTTGATGACATAATCTAGGAGAGGAACAGGATTGGGCCCTGAACATTCCGCCTGGTTCAAGCATATCAACATGTTTTCCCCGGTAACAAATGCGTTCCCATGGTAATACGAAAACAAACTCTCACACATGTCCGGCCTTTATCTGACCGGTAGATGCCTCAGATTCGTCAGATGCTAGCCATTTAGCATCACACCTACACACAGACCCGCCCTCAGCCAACGGGAGACAGCCGTAGATAACACGCCCAGAGACTCAGGGGTCAGGATTGGAGGCAGGGTGGGGTGGGGGAGGGGGTATTGAGGGTCGGGGGAGAGCAGGATCGTAGGAAGAAAGGGACAAGATCTTAATTTACGGTTTGAAGCTAGTCACATGCTAACGGTGTCATATTATGTTTTGAGTTGAAACAGAAGGCTCTAATAAGAGTTATGGCATATTTACGTGGTATGGAATAACAGACTGGATATTTGGTAATCTGGCGTGTGGGGTTGTCAGGAACTGTGGAATGGCAAACATATTTTGTGAGTTGCATTACGGATATGGGGAAAGGGGACACATCTTATTTGTCAAGTCTTGAATGCGCAGTAAGGGTTATCTTTGTAGTTGATTGTATCTCGGAGATGTTGTATATCGCCTGCACCAAATCCACGTGACAGTAATGAACTCGAATGTAAACGAGCTGTCTCTTTGCAGCGAGGCTTCTAATATATTAGATCTCAAGAATCAAAGCGAGTGTTGTTGGCGCGATGGGGCAGGAGGACTTCCGGGACATCCCGGAACCAGAAGTACAATCCAGTGTAAATCTCAGTTTACTGTGGTGAAGGTGGTGAAGTTTACTGTGGTGAAATTGTTGAAGCATCATATCGGCTTTTGTAATAGACTGTGTTTGGTGTACTTTTACAAAATGCCTCAATTCAAATGTATTCGTGAATGGACCTTTACAGCGTTCACCAAGCTTTTCCAGCCTTTCAGCAACGCCCCTGACATGGCGTCGACAACAACGTGTACTGCAGTGACAGGATCTGATACCCAACAGTGATGGAATGATCACCCCAATCTTCTACAAGCGCACACTAGCGTGACCAGACTCCGACTGAAACGAAAATTAAACAAATATCCAAGGACAGATCCACTAACAGGCGGTGGTGACCCAGGTAGTCGTCACTGGGGAAAGACGAGAAGTACGTCAATGAATACCAGGCGACTAGTGTGAGGCAACCACTAAAGACCACCATGGTACCCACTCTATGAATAGCCCAGTCGCCGATATCGCTATATGCACTGTGCAGAGTTGCGTCCCTTGGGTGTGCCAGAAACCTATGGCCGTGGGTTCGAATCCCAGATTCGCCATCATTATGTTTCTAGATTTATCACCTCCATCCCCATGTTCTGCATATCTTCAGTCACTCACTAAATGAATGAGGTTCTATGATTACAAACGCCTGGAACTTATCCATTGATCACTGCTTCCTGTACCGGGCCTGTGGTAACTGTAGTTCCAAACTCTCGTCGCCTCGTTACTTAAGTTTTGTATCAAGAATACGTACTCGGTCGTTCGCTCACGATTAACACGTTTTGGAAGATTGAGTGAGTCATTTGTCAGCAGCCTCCCAGATCGACTTCACTGTAACATCATCTTGTCCTGGACCAAACCATGGACGATATTGCGATTTAACAACACCCTGCTCCATATGAGCCCCAGTGCCACTCCCTTGTTGTAATATCCATACAGAATCGGTTGATTCATCCCATAGCTCCTGAACGATGTGGTTAGTTGCTCATATTATCAACCACTAGTTTACTTGATCTAGACTCGAAACTTTACAGGCAGCGTAAAACAACACCCACTCACTGACGCCACTCTAGCTAGGGGGTCATAGTAAGACCTGAACCCTGACCTGCTTGATGACCATGAGTGAGTGAGTTAGTGAGTGAGTGAGTTAACGTATCTTCGTATCGGAATAATTTCCAATCTCATTAAAATCAGATCTTAGTTTCTCGCTACTGCTATACAAAGAACCTAGGGCATTCACGTCAGAATGACCTTTCGCGAATTTGACCGATCAGTGAAATGACTAATAATGAGTGAGTGAATTGTGTTTAACGCCGCTTTTAACAGTATTCTAGTTATATCACGACGTGTCAGCTAAATTTTGGAGGAAAACCCGAAGTGCTGCAGGTCTTAAACGTTTACCAGTTCGGTGAAACCCACGAGCACGGGTATGGTGCTGACAAACCTAGAAACATATTCGGGGCGAACAGGGATTCGAACCCACAGTCATAGTTTTCTGGCGTATCCAAGGGACGCAACTCTACCTTAGATGACTGGGCCCCCCGTGCCCCCCGAAATGACTAATAGTAAATTGACATTATCCAATCAGAAAGCACCTTTCTCGAACCTACGGGACTAGTTTCAAAATCGTGACTTCCATTCCAGACTAGCTTTGAAAAAACAAACTGTTTATTGATGGTCGACATTGTATGGCAATACTTTTGCAAGGGCTTGGGAAAGTCTCTTCATTTTCAAAGTTTATCCTATTGCAGATAGCGACAGACGGTGTCTAACCTTTGGAATCAGTCGTACAGGCTAAACCGTCGTTCGAAATGCCCCGTGTTAACCTTTCCGAGGTTGCATGATTAGAAAACATTCTGACTTTCACTTTCGCGATCTCGCTAGCGACGCACTGATCCGTGGGATGAAAGGTCGATCTGACATGACTTGTAATGGGATCTTTGTGTAGCTGTAGCGAGAACTAAGATATGATTTTGATGAGATTTTATATTTTAATGCTACAAACCCGTTCGTGACGTCATGGAGACAAGGGATGGTAGTTGGCCTGGACTGGGTTAAACATGAGCCGTGTATTAATATTAAATCTGACTAAAACTCGACAACTGCAAGCAGTGTTGTCACCATGTTTAGTAGCCTCATCTCTTCCCACTGAAGTCCTGCACCATGACTGTGGAATTTATAATTTTTAGGTATTCTTTTTAACTAAAAGCCTAGGCAAGTTTAGATCAAACTAACCAAATCTAGTTTGTTTGATTCCACAAAAACAAAAACAGCGGAAGAGGAAAGGTTCTTTCAAAGAACAGTAACATAGTAGTTTCATTAAACCAGTGGGGTTCTTCCTGTTGCCTGATTGAGTGAGTGAGTAACGCCGCTTTTAACATTATTCCAGTTATATCACGGCGTGTCAGCTTAATGTGGGAGGAAAGCCCGAAGTGATGCAGGTCTCAGAGGTTTACCACTTCAGTGAAACCCACGAGCACGGGTATGGTGCTGACAAACCTAGAAACATAATCGGGGCGAACCGGGATTCGAACCCACAATCATAGGTTTCTGGCGTGCCCAAGGGACGCAACTCTGCACAGCGAATCGCGGCGCCTTAGACGACTGGGCCACCCGTGCCCCCGTCGCCTGATTGATAATGAATGTGGATGTAAAACGTATACCCCATACACACGACCCCTAGACACAAGTACATCTCCATACACTGGGGACTTTAAGACAACGCGAGATCTCGGCTGGAAAACGTGAACGTTGTAGAGATAAAGGGCAGACAGTTACTGAGTTCATCGCTGGAACATGACTTGACATCTGATGTCCAGACATCTGGGGAACTATATACAGGCGTAGTGATATGTATTACATGTGGTACTATTTTGTTTCACGTGTTGGACAACACTGGCAACTGCGGTGAAAGATGGGCTCAACGTCGGAGGATAACACGTGTGTTGTGGGTAAAGTGGTTTCAAGAGGAACTATCGTGTAACAAACGATGTCTGTAGCCGATGTCCGTTCTCCAGTGAGACAAACCACCTTTCACCACCAGGCCTACGCACTGTGCAACTTTAGCACTTGTTAGACAATTGTTGGGATCGCGTTGATAAATGATAAAGACGAATACTTTCAGATCAGATTCACACAAGCAGACGAAAAACTAATATAAAAAGGGGCGGGGATTTCGTGATATTGGTAGCGACGTGTGTATTTCACCGTCTCCCTTATCTCACGTCCACGAAGCAAGAATGGCGGAGAAGTAGCGACCCTTTGAAACATCACCTCAAGTCTCATTGAGTGTATTTGTACAATGACGTTGAATACGAAGGCAAACAGTGGGATTACTCCGCCACAAAAAGAGTCCGGTAACTCACGTTACAATATTCGCCGTGTCAATATTGACAGTCATCTGATTGATGGCGACGATGAAAGGATCCCAGTATTCGCGATCATAGATCACGAGGGATGTTAGATATATCTCCTCACCACCGGGAGAAGTAAGCACGAAGCCACCTGTAGAGACGTATAGCGTTAGTGTAGTCCCCTTTTTAATTACCATCAAAAATAATTGTGTACGTAGATAGAAAATCAAGAATGCATCGTCTCCATCATCTCACCTTTAATATGTGTCAATATAGCGGCATGTTTGGTATGGTAATTCAGTTGAGATGAAAAGTGTTCCATTCCAGCGATGGGAATGTGCAGGTATGTGACATGCATAAGGGGATGAGAGAGAGAGCGACAAAGAGAGAGAGAGGGGAGGGGGGAAGACAGATAGAGAGAGGGAAGAGAGAGTGACAGAGAGAGGTGAGAGAGCGACAGACAGAGAGAGCTGGGAGAGAGAGACAGACACAGAGAGAGGGGAGAGACAGACAGACGGAGAGAGGGGGGAGAGAGAGACAGACAGACAGAGAGGGGAGAGGGAGACAGACAGAGAGAGAGGGGAGAGACAGACAGACGGAGAGAGAGGGGAGAGAGAGAGACAGACAGAGAGAGGGGAGAGGGAGACAGACAGAGTGAGAGAGGAGAGAGAAAGGGAAGAGAGAGAGACAGACAGACATAGAGAGAGGGGGAGAGAGAGACAGACAGACAGAGAGTGACATAGAGAGAGGAGAGAGACAGATAGACAGAGCGAGAGGGGAGAGAGAGACAGACAGACAGAGAGTGACATAGAGAGAGAGGGGAGAGAGAGAGACAGACAGAGAGAGGGGAGAGGGAGACAGACAG